AGTGAGCCAGGACAGGATTATTTATCCTATAAGGAGCCTGTGTAATTAATTTCTTGCCTTGACCACCTGTCACAAGTATTTGAAAAAGCTTTATGTATTTATATATAGACCTCCATAAGAAATGGACTTTCCCAGCCATATGTCCATACAGGTCTGTATTGTGACAGTCTGTGTTCTTTCTGATTTCTTTTTTTTCGTTGATTTGAATTTTTCCAAGTGTTTCTGTTTGCAGTTTGTGCTGCAATGGTACTGCTGAACATTAATATTGCTTGAGTAAGGAACAAGAAGTTTATACTGCTGATGAAAACTGTGCTAAATGTGTAATACCTCTAGAGCATAAGGGTGTGCTACTTTTAAATCAGATATATAAGCATATGTCCTGTATGCCATAAATTACCTGAAAAGAAGGTGATGGAGGAGGAGTCAAAACTAAATGGCTTTCTGTTTACATCAACAACTGAAAGGGGAGAGATGTGAGGGAAGACCAAAATCCACTTCAAAGAAGGCAACTAAGAAGTCATCTATTTTTCAAGTATCTTGGAGTAAATATATTCTGTAGTGGGAACACTAATAAGAATTATGGCTGAGATCTGCAGTGACATAGTGGGGTTTAAATCATGTGTTGCTCATGTATGGAGGTGACTTGTGTTAGTCTGTCCCAAATTGAAACAATGCAAATTTCAGTGAATTATTCTTTCCGTGTTCCATACTCCTCCTCTTCCCCCCTAAAAGACAAATCTCAGGACTTTTGCAACATCTACTGCTAACTTGCTGTCCAAACTGTCATGGTCCTGCTTACAGCCAGAAGCTGCTGGTTTAGTATAAGTTAACTGTACTTCTCTTGTCAGAAGAGATGTCTTGTTTAAAGGTCAGCTCCTCTGCTGGTGCTTATGCATTGATAAGTTAAGCAAGGCAGTGCTTTCTAAATGGAGAGCTCTGTTGTCACCTCCCACAAGCGGAGATCAAATCATGGAAGAGCATTTGCATAGCTGTGCTCGGTTACCTCACCTGGGATGTCAGCCTTTGGTGCTGACTCTGTGGTTTGTGCTCTGTGCTGATTACCTGGACTGATGAAGAACAGTGTTACTTCCATTAGCATCTATCATCCTTTTGCATGCTGGTGCCAAAAAGTTTATCTTACCTCTAGTCCCCTAGATACCTCCTTCCTCTCAGGAACCTGAATGGAATTTTCCTATGCCCACCCTTTTTTTTTTTCTTTTTCCCCCCTTCCTTATCTTTCTCTGGCTTCAGCCTACTGTTGAATTACAAAGTCCTTGTTTTTACTAATAGTGTTAAAAAAAAAAAAAGACAATAAAAGGCAGCTTCCACCCAACTTTTCAACTTCCCTACGGACTAAAATATCTTGCTTTGCTCTTCTCCTAGAAAAGCATTTACCGCAATAATATGGAAATAGCTCTTTCCAAGGTGCACTGTAAGTGATCTCACTAATAAGTATTGTGATGCAAAAAAAAAAAAGCCCACTAGACTTCTGTTCATGTGCCAAGTGATGCAGTATGCTATTTGTGCTCCAGATGATGGTGGTGTCATTAATATTCCCATTCTGGTGAAAGAAGGGAAATGTGCTTTAATAGTTTTGTGAATCCTGATGAAGTTTAAAAAGCCTGTGTTCCACTTAGCCTTAATGGGTTGTTTTTGGCAAGATGACACTTGGAAAGAAGAGTGTCTTTAAACTAGTGAGGAGTTAGAAAGCAGGAACTGTCATCCTGAAATGGTGGAAAAACTCATTTATAATACATAAATGTATATATACACTTAAGGTTAATTAAAGAAGCCTTTTCCTTCCTTGATAAAAATGTCACAATCGTGTAAAGAACCATCTGCAATTTCATCTTCATCTTGATGGTTTGAGTGAGAAAAGTTATACATTTTGCTCGAGAAGGCAAGAAAAATCACGTTTTTCAAGAGGTCCCAAGCTAGTCTCAAGGGCTGTATCTCAAATATAAATGGACATAATATTCATTTTCCCCTCTCTTCATTGATAGGCTTTTCCTGCATGCTTTACATGTTAGACTTGTTTTAAATGTCATTCAAGATATTTTCTCATTTATAACTGTTTTCTACAGCTCCTCCAGTAATTCCAGCCTTTTAGCACTTATTGCCTACTAGCAGATGCAACATATTCAGGTCATATGAGTTTATTCAGTACAGAGATGATTTTTGAGTGAGAATGCTCAAGAGAGCAGCTTAATTTTAACATGAACTGCCAGTAACAGTAGAAAATAAGCTTTTCAGTGAATTGTTTTTTATTTTATTCTACTAAAATCTTAATTTCCAATTTAAAATTAACTCTATGACCAAAATATTCCATTGCTGCTGTTAGATGACTAACTCAAAAAGTGTATTTCCTACAGTTTCTGCTTTCATGTCACATAATGTAATTATTGCATCCAACAAAGTATGGTAAATGTAAGATTTGTAATTAATTTACATCAGTTAGAACCAGTGAACTTCCATAAATTTGTTCCTTCAGAGAGTGGACATATGGAGCTAAATGGCTAAATGTATCTAATTTATGGAAGCAATCTTATGGATGACATACCTGAGCTCCAGAAAGGATGGAGTGTTTCAGTCTGGTTGATTTTTACTTTTCTCACCTGAGGAAGTCTCCAAGCGAATTGTTGATTATGTAGCTGCTGAGATGTGGCACCACTCGATTTTCCCTATCAGATCTTCAGGGGGATGTGAACCTTGTTTGCTGTAAGCAGGGAAACTCTCAAAGCCTGCAAAGTTGCTGCTGCAGCAGCAAAATCCTCTTCCCTTTCTTTAGAGAAACTCCCACCAAGAGATCTGGAAAAGTGGGAGGCATGAGCATAGGATGTGCTAACTACACCTCCAGGGTTCACTTCTGTACTCTGGTCCTCTCTCATATTTTTTTTTTTTTAATAGGGCTTATCAATCAATGTACTCAGGGATTTCCTTTCAAGATTTCTTCTCAGTTGTGTCCTCATTAAATATCAGTTGTGGCCATCAGCCCTTGAAATAAACAACCAAGGTATAAATGGAAGGGGTAGCGTTTGGTGCTAAAACTGCCTGATGCTTTTTCAATACAAGAATGTTTCAGTTGCTGTTTTGCAATCAAACTGCAACTCTCTCAGTGCAAGCTGCTATGCCAGATAGGATTGCCCTTACCTTTTTTAACCCTTCTTGCTAAACAACAGGCAGAAACTCTTCCTAAAAACAAAACTGGAATATATATGCTTTCATCTGGCTGAAAACTCTGCTGGTCTTTTGCATTATTTTGGCAGCCCTGGTTTGTAGGGAGTCTGTGAGAGATTGGCTCAGGGGGTTTGCTCTTCTGGGAGCTTCCATACTATTTTTTTGTTTTTTAAATTTGGGATTCACATGCTCAGATGCTTTAGAGATGCAGGAGTCAAAACCTTAAGACTGCTGTCCTGTGGTGAAGCAGGCAGCCCTGAAATGGAGGGGGGAGTGTTTGTGTGTGTTTGTGTCTCTTTTAAGGGTTTTTTTTTGGTTTTCAGGGTGTGTGTTTTCTTGGAGGGGTGTTTTCTTGTATTGTTATGTGTTGTGGCTTAATTCCAGTCAGCACCTAAGCACCAAACAGCTGCTTGCTCACCCCCCCATGCACAGTGGGGAAGAGCACTGGGGGAAAAAATAAACCTTGTCAGTTGAGATATGAGCAGTTCAATAATTGAAACAAAAAAGTATAATACTAATGATACTAATTAATAGTAACATTAATAATGAAAAGGAGAAAGCAGAAGCAATAAAACTCAAGATAAACAAGGATGCACAACACAGTTGCTCACCACATGCTGACTGATGCCCAGCCTATCCCCAAGGAGTGATCAGCCCCTCCCAGCCAGCTCCCCCCAGTTTGTGTATTGGGCATGACATTCTATATTGTGGAATACACCTTTGGCTTGTTTGGGTCAATTGTCCTGGCCATGCTCCCTCTCAGCTTCTTGTGTACCTCTTCACTGGCAAGGCCAGTGACACTGAAATGTTCCTGATTACAACAACTGAAATATCCATGTGTTACCAACATTATTCCCATACTGAATCCAAAACATAGCACTGTACCAGCTACTAGGAAGAAAATAAACTGTACCATAGGTGAAAACAGGATATTATGTTGTTTTTTTTTTTCTCTTTCAGCTACAGCTCTGGAATTTTTGACTGGGGAGCAGGGGAGAAATGAGTGAAAGAAAGCAAGTTTTGGAAGTAGAGTTGCATAACAGGATAGGGGTTGGCCAGGAACAAAAGGAGAGGATTGGTAAGGCAAGTCAGGCAACAGAAAGGGAATTAAATGTTGAAAAATTAAAACGGATTCAAATAAGATCACTAAGACTACAAGGTCTAAGCAAACATCTAAGGTATGCTACAGAGCAGAACCTCAGTGATGCTAATGTAACTCATCTTCCACTAAAATGTCTCTGCTGCCACTCAGCTCCTCATAAAATCCTTTTGCAAGCCTTATGAAGGGGCTTTTAGCTGTTTTTAGGGGAAAAAAAAAAAAAAGCTTATTTCTTCATAAACAGATGTCCAGATGTTTTGGATTTACGTAAGTAAATATCAAATACCATTGTAATGGATGTAATAAAAACTCAACTCAGAGTAGTTTACCTTATTCTAAACTAGACTAAATTCACCAGCTGATCTACTTTAGGTTTGTTCCTTGGACTTGCCTTTTTTCCACTGATGCACTGATTACCTGTTTGTGACATGCAGCAAAATGCAAACAGCACTACAACATTACGAGGAACATGATGCTGTGTTGTACCAGGTGGCCTCCCTGCTGCATTTGGGGCAGTTCCACAGCACTGTCAAACAACTTTCTCTGGCTAAACAATGGAACAGGTCTTTTAAAAAATAATATTTAATAATTATTATAAATAATTTATTAATATTTATATATTTATTTACTGGTTTTTGCAGATTTTCTTTGAAGTCTTGGCAGCTGTGTTTGACTGTGGCTCTGAAGGCCAGGCCTTCAGACCTTGGGTGGATCCCTAGGATGTGGCACATGGCTTGAACCTACTCTTGAGGTTCTCCAGTGATCTGCTGGTTAGAGGCACAGCTCATCTACCTGCATATTCTGGAGCTGAAATGTCCACCTATGGAAGTCGCTGTCACTTTTAAATCCTTTATGAAAAAATAAAATAGTTGTGGGGTGGAACTGGAATCATTGCAAAGATTAGGGATGTTTCCCAGTGTTGCACTGTAAAACATGATTTGTGATGTTTTAAGAATAAAATAATATGCTGGAAGGGCTTTAAATTCTTTTTGTGTCTGTTGCTACTGTCAATTAACAGCCTCTAGGGTTACGTGGGTATAACAGAGCAGAGTCCAAACAAGAAAAAACAGGGAGCACATTCTGTCACAATAAATGTAGTGTGCTTCCATGAATTATGTACGTTCTCAAGGTCACCATGACATTGAGCACAAGTGAAAGCAGAGTATGTTCCAGAAGCCTGTAACACTTAAGCAAAATTCTTTTTCTTCTTGGTCAAACAGCACTGATGCTAAAACACTGTCTGGAAGTCAGACATGAATTTTTGCCCCAGATGAGCTCCTGGATATTGCTGTGAAATAAGTTTGGATAACAAAGGGCTGCCCTAACTCATCAAGCAGGTCTTGTTAATATAATTAAAGTGTAACTGTTCCCAGTATTAAAAGTTATTTCAATAATAAGGGCAAATTCTACATCCCTCAATAAATCAAGGCTGAAAAGAATTTGAAAAATTTTGAAAACTCCTGCAGAAATATTCTCGAAAAGAATCCAGAGTTTCTCCTGTTCTTGCACTTCTTCCTTCTACAAAGTAATTTCTATTTTGTTTTATAGGAGGTTCAATGAATTTCGGATTTGTACAACAGAAGAAGAAACAATGTGATGAGAAGTCTACCTCTTCAAAAGTAAGATAACTATAACTGCTGCTAGGATAAAGTTACAGCTCCACTTCAATAGTGAAAACTAAATAAGTTGGTTTTATCTTTGTTAAAATTGCAGTGTTCTTCTCCCCTCCCCCAGCATCCCATTTCACTTTTTTTAGAGTCCCTTTTCAGTAGAAACCCTGAAGAACTGCCAATTTGGCTTCAGTTGTGAGTGATGATTACAGATAACTGGGTTATGATCTTGGCTGAGACAAACTGGAAATGGCACTAACATCTTATAAATACCTACTGTTTAGTGGCTTTTGAGATGCTTAAACAAAAACCCAGCTATGTATTTTGAGTGCAAGCAATGAATAAGAAGGAAGTGTGGCATAATCAAACACTATAAGCCATTTTTAAGAATATGAAACAGCAAGTCATTAATACAAAAATAAAGCACCCTCAGTCTTAAAACAACTAATTACAGGTAATGTAGGAATCAGTGTATAATTTTGTAGTTTAATAAGTATCAGATGGTTAAAATGGAAGGAATTCATGAATTCTTAGCAAATAATTCTCTATATAATTCTGATGGTTTGCATTTCTTCTTACACTATAGTATTGTGCTTATTAAACTCAGACTAATGATGAATTTTCAAACCCTTGTTACAGATCATTGAATGTATCTGAAAGGTCATTGCATCACTGGACAGAAAGTTCTGTAAGGGAGAGCACACATGATATTGTCTAGGTCTGCCCTCAGCCATCCCAGCTGGATCCAGGAAGAGGAGGTGGGATAGTTGCTAGGAACTTGCAAAATTGTGCAACATACTGTTGTATTTTAAAACTGTTTTGGAACTTGGGGGTCATGTGGTGTTCCTGATGTATAATAAGGATAAAGACAGTAACAGTTACTCATTCTCCATGTTTTTCTACAATCAGAGCTGACTGCTTTTCTGACTGATGACTGTGCTTTTCTTCAAGAGAATTTGGAAATATCCCTTTCTTTCAAGATAAACTTGCAGTTTCAGGGAAGAGACAGAGGTGGCTGTGCTGCAAAGAGGTTTTTGGATTCTAGGAAACATGGTCACATACCTTAATACAGGATCGAGTATTGATGGAGTGACTGTTTTCTCTAAAGGATTAAAGGAGGAAACATCAATTGCAGATCATTGTCCATATGGGTTTTGGATATTCCCTTGCCTCTGTCCTGCAGCATTTTACACTTAGCAGTCCAAGCTTTGATTGAATTGGCTGAACTGCTGTCTCTCAACACACTTTCTAAACGTTTTGTTCTCTATACTAATGTACCTCAGAGAAGCTCATCCCTTCTCAGGATGATGCAAACCCATCCATCTCATGGTTAGGTGTTTCCAGTCAATGTGTGTGATTCCTTTCCTTATGTTTTCCCTGGTTAACTCCACCATTCAACGTGTTACATGTTCCTTTATCTAGGTGCTCTCTGGGTTCCTCCCGAGCAGTGTGACTAAGCCCTGCTTGCTCAACCTGCCACCACCTGCCAAAATCTGCCAAGTGTTCTGTAGCTCATCTCCCATCTTCTTGTGCATCCCAAAATCTGTTGAATGGTAGGATCTTTCACTTGCTCCTCACCCTCAGTTTGAAGCAGGGGTCCGTGAGCTGGAGAAAGAAAATGCACAGTGTAGGTGTTTGCTTGGAAAAAAAGAAACAAAAAACCCCAAGTAGAACAAAATATCAATGATTAATGGATATCTAAGCATTCGAGTCCACTTGTGACTCCAGGCAGCTACTGACTAACAGTTTCAAGCATATCCTGGAACCAGCACCTTAGAAGATGAGTGGCTGTTTACCAAATGCCTAGTGCCTTTTCTTTCCTTTTTCCTCTGTACCAGTGTGTTCTGGGATATGAGCCTTTTTGTCTGTCCCGGTGTATTAGATCATATCTCCTTAGCACACTTGATTTCATCTTTCACAAAGTGGTTGAGGTTGGAAGATGTCTCTGGAGATCATCTGGTTTCATGCCTTGCTCAGTGCAGAAGCATCTAGAGCAAGTTGTTCAGAGCTGTCCCGCTGTATTTTGGATCTCTCCACAGACTGAGACTCTGCAACCTCTTTGAGTAATGTAGTCCAGCATTTGACTACCCCAACGGTTAAAAAAAAAAAAAAAGGCAAGCGAACATCACAATAAAACTAATTAAAAATTAATGAGTTAAAATAGGACTTTTTGTAGAACTATATTCCTATAATTCAGTTTTTGCCTTGTGCACTGTCCCTGCGCCCTGCTGAAAAGTCCATCTCTGTTGTCTTTGCTCAGACCCGTAAGTATTTATGCACTAAGATAAGATTTCTCCAAAGCTTGCTCTTCCCCAGGGAAAACAGTCCTATCTCTCTCAGCCTGTTCTCCTGTATCAGATACTACAAGCCTTTAACTGTCTTAATGGCCCATCTTGTTGGTTCCTCTGCAGTATGTGCGTGTCTCTCTTGTACTGGGGTGCCCAGCACTGGTGCCAGCAGTCCAGATGTGCCTCCCCAACTGAGTATAGGACAGTTCAGCCAAATTAGTTGCCCTCACTATCTGTTTACCTAATCAAAACTTCATCAGCTCACTGGAGCTATAATGAGGCATTTGAGCAAACTGACCTGGGTTAGGGCACCTATCTCTGAATTTGGGTGGCTGAGAAACATGCAGTTCTGCTGCAGCCTTGGTAGAAAAGTAGAGAAAGCAGTGAGGGTGAGGATGTTCTGGCTCAGGAAGCTGGACCTTAGGGATAAATAAATCTGCACTGGGTCTGTACAGGATAGTTACACTACTGAGTATTTTTTCCGTAATGTTCCATAGGAACCCAATAAAAACAGAAAATAAAAAAATTAGTTTAAACCTTTTTAATAAGCGAGAAAGTATAAATTGAATATCCTGTGGTTTATGACTATATTAAATGCAATTATATAGCATTACCTGCAACATCAAATGCAGCCATAAAAAGCACTTTAAGCATCTCCACAGCAATAAAGGTATCTAATGTGTAAGAGAGTGAATAGTAATCAGCACATCACCTATGGACCAAGATCTTTGGTAGTCAATGACCTTTTAGCTGGAATATGTAGAAATACTTAACTGTGTTAGTTTCTAGTCTTTTCATAAAACCTCATAGGCTGTACTGAATTCCAATTAACTGCCATCTCCAGAGTATAACTAAATTACTCTGTGCTTAACTGAGCTAAATAACACATTTGTTTATCCAGATTTACTCTTCCGACCCTCTCCCATTATACCCTCTTCTATTTCAAAAGCAAACGGTTCTGCCTTGCCATTTTTTAGGAAGATAAAACTGAACCCAGGCATTCACTCCAGTACTATGTTGAACTTTGGTTCTGCTGGTAGGTACATAACTTATTTAAATAAGACTCTTCATATACTTGGATTACTAGTTCCATAAACCTTCTATGTAGAACTACTTTAAAATGCTGTTAAGGCATTTTTCAATTTTATAATTGAGATGGCAAGTGAACTTCCTTGTGCAGATAGCAAAAATACTCATTTGTTGGACTAAGAACTAAGAAACCTATAAATGTAATTAATTTACAGAGTCACTGGGTATACAATTTGGAATTTTAAGCAGAGTAAGAGTTTATGCAGTGCACAGCTCAAAACTGATTCTTCTGTTTCTCTTTTTTTTGTGTGTGCCTGAAGCAGGTGGAAGACAAATTCTATATATATATATTTTAATTTTACTGTAGAATAAGCTACTAATTTTGTATTCAGCAAATATACTGGATGGGATGTAATCAAATTCAGCTTTTGGAGCCAAATGACTGCTGTTGCATACCGAGGTATTTGTGCCTTCTCTAATTCTCTGAAGCATTTCAATGTTTCCCATTCTTCATAGACTTAATTCTCTTTGGGAATCTGTAATAAACATGCAGTGTCTTTACTAAGCCCTGATAAGGTAAAACTATCAAAGCTTATTACCATTCCCAATTTCTGTGTTTCAATTTGAATACATCTTTATTTCATATACAATCAATATTCAATATTTTCACATGCAAAGAAGTGTTAACTAGCTTGCAAAATCCTGTATTTTGTTTACTTGTGTTTGGTGGTTATGATTTATACACCGCAAATCCAAACCCTTCATAAAATAAAAAAAATCTCAAGAAACAGCTTGGTTCTCCAGCTGTATAAATTAAACAAACTGCAGCTGACCTAAACCTTTGCATCAGGGGGTCTCTCTCCTCTCCTCTGTCTTGCATTTCTTGTGTCTCATGGTTGGTGATGTTTTAGGTCAAGCTTGAGGAAGAAAGCCTGAGTTGAAATGAGCCATTGGTTGTGGAAATGTAATGTAAATTCACACCACTTCACTGAAGAAACTGCCCAGTGCCTGAAAGCAATACTCACTTCATCACCTCCAGTGTTCTCTTTTTGCTTGTGCACTAAGAATACTGATATTCTACTCTTTATCCACAAAATATATTTCCCTGGCTAGGTTTCCAGCAAACTATTTTTCTTAAACACTACATAAAGCTTTTGGTTTAGTCAGGTAAACCTTTGTTATGTCTGATATTTATTTTCTTGCTGAAGAACTTAAATATGAAATTTGCTGAAGGAAGAAAACTATTGCATCCGTTGTCACCTCTGCTTATGCCTTCCAGCCTCCTGTTGTGTGTTGTACAGCATTATCATAGTGCACATTGAATATGACTCTTCTCTTATGTATGGAAACCTTAACTCCAGCAAGATGGATTCATTATTGGTACAGGAAAGCTCAGACAGTTGCATAAAACAATGTTATTTTTTCAAGAGTATGCATTGAGGAAGTTTTTCCAAGTACATTATTGTCATTTGTTTCATTACTGGAGCCCTTAGAATACCAGCAAAATGCAACTGACTTTCTGTATGAGCCTGTGGAAAGCCTGGAAAAATTGTTATGTGAAATACCTGTAAATTGTTTCTGTCTTTCTCAGTCAGTGTCTTTATTCTGTAGCCTGGGGGTGGTGTTTAACTATTGAGATGATATGGTAGTAGTTGTTTTAGAGAATAAGCAGTTGAATTCCTTCAGTCATAGGCATAGTGAAATTCAAGTCATGGAACAATGGGCTGTGTTCTTGGTTTGTAAACCGAAGTTATACTGGAGAAAAATTAACTGTCTGTCTTTCAGCTACATGCTGTAGTTATTTTTGGCATGCACAAAGTTTGTCTATGAGAAACCATGAAAACGACTTTGATGTTAGTAACAGTATCACTTCAATCTGCATTTATCTTCCAGAATATATACATATATAATTGTCAAAAAAGACAAATTTATTTGAATAGACAGCAAGGTACAATTAGTTAAGTATCTTAGTTAAGTAAATTATATATATTAGTTAAGTAACTTTTCATTGCAGAAGTAGAACAGGTCGTGTGAATTTCCTGATGTGAAAAAAAGCACAAAGCTAACTAAGCAGTTAAAACTAAATAATGAAATATTGATATGGCTTGAAGTTAATCTAAAACAAACTTCATACAATCATGGAATGGTTTGGTTTGGAAGGGACCTTTAATGGTCCAACACCCCTGCAATGAGCAGGGACTAGATCAACTAGATCAGGCTGTTTAGAGCTTTGTCCAGCTTGATCTTGAATTTTTTCAGGGGCAGAAATCCCTCTCTGGGCAACCTGCACCAGTGCTTTGCCACCTTTGTTTTAAAAAAAACTTCTTCCTTATATGTGATCTTAAGTCAGTGCTCCTTCAGTTTAAGACTTATCTCTACAGGCCCTGCTAAAATGTTTGTCCCCGTCTTTCTTATAGGCCCC